GAAATGATTTATTGCTTCACCATGCACGTCATTGAGTTGAAGGTATGTATTTTATATTTTTGTAAAACCATTTTTAAGAACCATTATCCTTAGTATAAACATTTTAGCTGCATTCGATTTATAAAAATGTCTGAAAAATAATACATACATAATTGCATATCCACCATGTACATATTTAGATCATAATAGGTATGACATAACAATGAGATTAGCTTATTTTGCATTATATCAATGCAATTTTCAGTGTGGTTAGGTATGAAGTGGCTTTGAGATAATATATTAAATCTTCCATTAATTAATTTAAATAAAATTGTTAAAATTTTCAATAGGATATACAAAACAGAAGAATATTCGAGAGTGCGAATAGATAACTAAAAGTCAGTCATATATTACTGATATGCTAGTGATAATGTTAAATAAGTTTTCACTACAAGGATCATCAATTATTGAAAATAATAAAGAATTAGAGATTTTGACAGTAAGATAATTGGACAATCATATAAAAAAATAGCAATTACGTTCATAATCAAATAACATAAAAAATTAATCATTTATGTACATAAGTACATAACGATAATAGTTATAAAAAAAGTAGATCAGAATTTCGGTGGTGGATGTTTGTTCATCGTCCCTTCGATCCTCGGACAGGATAGTGTAATTTTACTGTATTCGATTTGAATGCAATGATTGCATTCGATAAAAAACGATTCTGAGCGGACGAGAGAATCTTTTTTACTTAATTTTATTCGTTTCTATGGTGATAAGCAAAGCGTTATAAGAACAGATTAAGAACGATTTATATAAAAAGGTAGTTTATATAATTATAATTATAATTTATAATTAAGAAATATCATAAAAATGAAAAAAATATATAAAAGAAAAGAAAAAGCTAAAAAATCGCTCAAATGTTTTGAAAATTTTACCATGTCTAGGTAAGGCTAATATTAGTAAACAATCTTAATTTCAAGTTTTTACGAATCTTTTTAACCGAATAACAACAACATTAAAATGTCAATAAATAGCTCAAAATTGTTAAAATTTTCCGAACATTAAACCATAAGGAACAAAATCCAAAATACAATAACAAAAAACTCTTGTCATTTTTCATTTGAAGCAATATTTCTGGTAGAAATCGTCGTTCGTAGTTATTTAATATTATAAAATCGTGAAATCGTACTTTTTTCTTCTTTAACCGCTTTTATTTCGAGTACCGTTTCGAAAATCGAAAAATGACCTCTCTAAAGTACCAACTCAACAATATTAACTTTCAGAAAAAATGCTATACTTGATATTTTTAAGCAAGTTTAGAGGGAGAAAAAGTGTTCACAGAATAAAAAAGAAATAAACATCATTGTAAAACCAATACAAATAGGCGCAACTAGGGGGGTGCTTTAGCACCCACAGCCTTTAATTTAGCACCCCCAGATCAAAAACACCAAAAATGGAAAAATCATATGAATTTTTTTGTTTTACGTAAGGTTGTTTAAATATTGAATGAGATGTTGTTATAAAATTACTTCTTCAGAAATATTGGAAATATATTCCAATTTCACTAATAAAAGAAAAATAGTATTAGTATAAAATAGTATATTATATATTATGTATAATATTGTTTATTATGTAAACATACTAACATAGTATTTATTACCTAACCTTTGAGATGATTGTGCCTCATGTAAGTGACTGCTAAAAATGTAAATTGTATAATTATTTTGACATCAGTTATTTAAAAATAAATAATATTATTTATCTGTTTATACTAGGTCATTATTTGTATCACCTAAATAATAATATAGGTAATATACCTAATGTATTTATGTGGTAAATATTAGTGTGTTTATGTTTTTATAATGCATTTAAGATTGGTTATAGTTAATAGTTATTATAAAATTGAAATATGGTACTTGGGGTGTGTGGGCGTAGCCCCCACGGGTCTGTTTCATCTACATAATTTTAGCACCCCAAATGTTTGGCCTCTAGTTGCGCCTATGCCAATACATTCCTCGCTCCGCTCAGAATCTAAAAGAATTTATAAAATATGATCTATCAGTTAAATATACTAATACATTTTTTGGTCATGGATTTGTGGAATACCTAAGCCCTATTTATTATAAAATCAATATAAAATGTTTATTATATAAATGTATAATTTTAGAATTGAATAATAACGTGTTTTAATATTTTATTTTCATTGCTAATTGTTGAACTGTTATGTTTGATTGCTTAAATGTTATACCTTTTAATGTATTATTAATTTATGTATCTATGTCGATGCTTTATTCTTTAGTAAAAATAAACTTTTTCTTTATGTTTCCTGTCTTAATAGAGCTATGTAATAAAATAATTAATGCACTTAATACTACAAATTATTACCTAATTGTATATTTTTATCTGTGTGAATTGCATAACTCCCTACCTTCAACACAAGTTTTTAGCTTACATGAGATAAGTAAATCAAAACTGTAGGTATTTGTTTTAAATTTGTAAAACTGTAAGCATTTCTTTTTTATTTCTAATAAATAAATAAATAAAAATGTTCTAGTTCTTACTTTTTAGAGTTAATTTATTCTGTATTCACATATATTATAGGTACTTCTATTGATATTCGATACCAAACCTATTTCAGTAAGACTTGAGTTATGATCAGAGGATACACCGACATTCAAAAAAAAAAAATTATACATTAGAATATTACACAATAAAAAAGAGGATTTATATTTGAAAAACAGAAAATGATATTATTACAAAAAGAATCTCGAAAATTTGAAAATATGGTCTTTTAATAAACTGGAAAATTCCAAAAATTATATTTTGGATAATACTAAATTATTAAAGAAAAAAGAGGATAAGCACGAGTGATGAATCACCGTGTATATTATAATGTGAGGAACATTCGCTTCATTGATTAAAATATAAAACATTATTGCCCTTCCATTGCATAAAATAAACGATCATTTTTTTTTTTTTAACGGTTGATTAATAAATTGTCATCCACTATATCGCAAAATGTAACTTATTTAATTTTAAATATAATACAAATGTTCAATAAAATTTTAATCTCTTAATTTTGTACAAGCTTTCAGGTTAGATACACATTATTTACGTTGTTTATAATCTTTCAAAGAAAAAAACTTAAAACATATTTTATATAATATATTTAAAGACCTATGTACCTATACTATACAAATATTTATATACTTTTTCTGCCTAAATTTATGAATGGAAAATTGTTGCAGTTAGTAAGTTTCTTACGTTATAGTAAACATTGTGTGTCGGATGATATGATGGGGATATTTGCATATTTTATATGGGTGTTGTTTGATAAAAGAATCACCTGTATATATTATGATATAACCTAAACAAATTGATATGTACTTTATCCATGGTATATTATTTTAGATACCTTACATTATGGTTTACATAACCATCGACCGCCATTATAATGATATCCTTTACCGGGCACGTTACAACAGTTCAATACACAATATTCAATATTGTGATGATAATATAATAATCGTGGATATTCGGAACTCGTATTATTCATATTAGTAATGTTACTATTAAAAATTAAATAATCGTTTAAAAATATTATCATTATTATGCGTTATTCGTTTTAATAATACTACTTTAACCTATTAGCTATATTGTTGTTTACAAATTACATCCATGGATAATGGCTATGGTATAAGACTGTTAATATAATAATTATTTATTATTCAATAACTATAGACATGTGAATAATACAATTAACAAGACGCATAATATATTTTTGTTTACGTTTGAATAGCCTTTTAAGTTTTGAAATGATGTTCTAAAAAATCTATTCTGAAAATATAATATGAATAAATTAGTAGTGCATAAAAAGATCGATAAAATACTATGTATTAGGTATATAAGTATTTGCACCATAGATAAAAAAGAACTATTTAGTATCCATACAGCTTATCGAACCTATACGTAAAATGTATAAGCCATTGAATGATTTTAATGATTGAATTTAATCAGTGAAAGATATGTTTCACCGATATATGGATTATCCAGCTATGTACTGACGAGATAATGACCGTAATTTTGACGATTACAAAAATGAGGGCAAATGTAGTTATTTTAATCTGGCGGTGTAACGTGTTTACATCATTGCTGTTGCGAGAAATAGGAAGAGAAAACACGAATTGTTTTTTTATTTCGTATCTTCAAAAGTAGGCGATTATTAAAGTAAAGAAAGGAAAACTGCAATCATAAAATTAAGTGTTTGTGTAAGTGTGGTATGCTTTTACCAATATCAGAATACGCAGAATGTCGTAAAGTAAACCACGGTAGTAAGTAGGCGCGTGTGAACTTTAAAAGTGACATTCCAGAATGTGATAGCAGATTCGGATAGCTCCATATCACCGTTTATCGGGCATTAGGATAGAGTAGAATTTCGATGTTTCGATGTCGTTACTTTGCTACCCATAAGTGCAACGAAAGCGTTGTTTATTTAACATCTGAATCTATAAGACACATGTATTATGTTTCAACCCATGGTTTTTAAAACTTTTAAAAAAAAAATACGCATTGATTCAAACTCGAAAATCCGGATCTCCTTTCAAAAAAAAAATTTAAATAAAACTAAACACTAGACGGACTTTAGGCTGTTTTTGTGAGATAACACGGTCATTTCCGGCAAATATACGCGTGAATCGAAAGATCTTGACTACGGCGACGAGGAAGAAATCGAAATGCGTCTGTCGCAAATCGGGGTCACCATATGCACATATGTATACATATATATACCTATTTGATGGAATATAATTATAATATGCACGTGTATACATACACATCATATACATTCGATTCGTTTACACATCTCGGGCGGCGGTGGGATCTATTCATTCTTAATATACGTATGTTGTTCTTTCTCGCTCGCTCTCTTCCTTTCTCCGCGCCAAACCGACACTATCTCCCTCTGGCGCGCGCGTCGCTCAAAGAAACCGGTGAACGCGGACTCCTCGGACTCGCCGCCGGTTCGGTCAGTGCGATGCCAACTGTGTTAGCGTTCGCGTTACACGATGACGAACGTCGTCAATCATCATCTACCCTCGTGGTCCGCGGTCATTGTGGTGTCGATCGTAGCCGTCTCGTTGGCGCCGGTGTCGCTGTGTTCGGTGCAGCAATCCAGCAGCGGCAACGGGCTATGGGACGATCTGATGGGCAAGTGCGACGGTCCAAGGAACACGATGGACTGCGTGCGCAGCCGGCTGTACAATTACGTCGATCACACGTTCGAATCCGACTTTAACATCACCGACGGGCTGATATTCACGAAGAACTCCAACAACTACGAGTCCATGTGTCCCGAAAATAACGAGACAACCACCACGTCCTATCGGGAAGCCCGAGCTCCTGAAATGGTAATTTAGATTTCTACAAATTGTCTGCGTTTCCGAAAGCATTTTCACGATCCTCCACGGCTACAACGATCCGTGAAACGAAGAGGATTTTTCATTTGTCGCTTGCTGCTGCGTCGGTTTTACTTAATCGGGTGGCTGTCGATTAGGTCGCGCCTTGACCGCTAACCGCAACAACCGCAAACCGGGCCCACTATTTTGCCAATACGTAGCATCAGACATTATAATAACCTATAGGAATCGCTCGTTTGCATTCGTCGTGTAATTTTACTGTGCTGTGACTGCTCACCACAGTCGCGTTAAATAGGACCTAATGCAATAAGATTATATACCAATATGAACATTTTACCGTAATAATAACATTCAACTTATTAAAACCGGTCAGCAGCAGTTTTTCTACCAACGACCGTCAACTGGTTTTTTGTGAAATAACTGTTTTAATCTGGTTTAATAGCAATAATCTATAGTTTATTAATTTATGCACACCCCCATGGAGGTGTTACATCATATCGGGAGAGGGCTGATTGTTATTTTGTTTTTCTGCAGGAAGAAGAAGAAGCAGTAGTCGATGATGGCTGGTCCGACGTCACAGAGCGGCTGTACAACAAGGGTGCCAAATACTTGGCAACCCACGATTTTGAAGCCACTGTACCAAGTTTTTTGGGTGGCGGACCCGGTGCTAGGGTTCGTCTGTCACCCAAAAAAATTTTACCCGATGGCGGCATAATTCTGCGAATGGACGTGTTGCCGGCTGCAAGAGACGCCAGATCGCCTAGATTCATGCACAAGATGATAAGTAAGAAAATCTGATTATAACAGAACTCTAGCAATCTTATTCTATTGAATTATCCTAATTAAGTCAATCTGTATAAGTGGGCGTTATTATAGTGAGTCATGCTTAAAATAATTACAGTGATGTCCGTAAGTGTATCTTTGTAGTATAGGTAATATAACTGTTAAATATATTGCGTTCAATAGGTACTATAAAACCCAGCGGGTAGGTACCTAGATTTCAATTGAAATACCAACCTAGATCTTAAAAATCAGTTTAATTTATATGCATTACCTGTAGTTAGTCAAATTATGGCCAATATTATCATGAGGCCTAAACTAAATATATACCGAGTGTTTTATCTACTCTATCCATGTTCATCAATTTGAATTAAATTACAAACATCAGGCATGTTTGAAGAATATTGCCAAAACGAACATATTTTTAGACGTAGATGTTAAATTCACTTAAAATTTTTTAATTAAAGCAATTAGTAACGAGCATATTTGAATACGTTATTAAAAAGAGAAAGCATTGAAACTGTCTATAAGGGGCCTTGAACTTGATTTGGCTAGAATCCAAGTACAGTGACTCCGATTTACCATCAGTGAGTTGTAATGTGTGTCAAAACGATGTCTAATCGTAAATCCACCATATATTATCTTCATTATGATTAAATATAACACAACACTACAATATTAATCGTTTGTTTGTTATTTTCATATTTTCATTATATTTTACTCTGCTTACTGTTTCAACTAACTATAGATACATATTTCCAAATTATTTATGTTTTAACTTTAATATACGTTATAATATTTTATAAACACAAGTAACATACAAAAAAACTATTGAGTACAAGGAATAATCATTATCTTAAAATTTAATCATAATATTATAAAATCATTTTAAGAAATACATCTTAAATATTAATAAGTATAATATGTATGAATATTGGTTGTTACATTCATTATACGTATAAAAAGATTGATCTAGTATTAAAGTTAATCCAATCATTTATCTGTTGTTTTTTTTTATACAACCTAATACATTAATATAGTGATTTTTATACTTGGTAGGTATGTTTAAAAATGTAGTGGAGCAGGTTAGTACAGTAGAAATTTACATGATATACAATTAGTTTCCTAAATCTCCGTGGTATGCTCCGGTTCACAAATTATTTAACTGCTATGAGTAGGTATAATTAGGTATTAAACAAGTTGCTTTAATATTATTTGGTAATTACTGTAGTGTTTATCGAAAAACTAATATATATATATATTAATGCTATTTTTTTTAAGCTTAATATGATCATGTTATTTGGCAGTTACAGATTTCCCGAACAGTTAAAAAATACTAAAGTAAAGTAGATTCTAAAATCAAGAACTCAAAAATATCAACATTGTTCTTTTACTTCTTTAGCTTCAAATGTTAAGCATGTTTATACTTTTAAAAGTAAATCAACATAAGACATCTAAATCATAAAATATATTAACCACAAAGTGATCACATATTTTTACTATATTTGGATATAAATCCCAATTTCATATTATGTATTTCATTTTTAAATTAAAACCCGTGATATTATTTTAAACTCGAAATGTAATATTATATTCTAAACTCTATAAAATATTTTGAATGATGAAAATTAATGTAAGTACACCTTCCATCTTAACTTGTAGGTACATCGTACCTAATTTATTTCATCAAACAAATGAACTATTATTGCTTGACTGGCTGGTAGGTACTTAACTATAAATTACATTCAAAACCAATATTATTGACTGAATACACGTTAAATAATAATAATACAAAAAACGTGTATTAATTAAAAAACATTAATTTATTATTGTATCTTGATATTAACCTGGAATAGTTATTATAATATAATATTATGAATCAAAGTATATTAATATTTACAATTAAATTTATATTCAAAAAATATTCTCTAAACTAAAATAAAACTAAATAGTAAACTTAAAGTCTAGAAATATTAATTTTTTGTTTTAAGTTACATCCAAGTTATCAACTAAATATAAGATTTTCGTTGAATTATTTTAACATAATATAGTTCTTTTCCATACAAACGAACGGGCTGAATTATGTTTAGAGCAATAT